AATTTGGCCGGTTGCCGGTGCCAGGACAGCGGCGCGGAGGCCGGGGGCTCGCACGCGCCAGGCTCGGTTGTTGGTGGGTGCTGGCAGGACTGGCTCGCCAAGAGCCGGGAGGAGGTGGAGGGCTTCAGCAAAGCACAAGTATCGCTCTTGGTGGCAGCTGTGCTGATAGATGGTGGGCTGGAAGACGACGAGTTCATCCAGCAGACGGTGGCGACACTGCAACAGCAAGGCGTCACAGGCAAGGCTTTGCTGCGGCTCACGCTGGAGAAGCTGATGGCAGCTGGAGTCCCACGGGGCCCAGCGCAGCTTCTGGCTGAGAAGATCCAGCTGCTGAAGGAGCCCCAGGCACGGCTGTTGCTCTTGACTTTGTTTTGAGACGCGCAGTGGGTCGTTGTGTGTGGTTTTGAAATTCCCCCCGCGGCCGCTTTTGGTGGGGCTGCCCTGATCACATCCACAGAACCTGAACATATTTGACGCCACTCTCCTCCCTCATCAACCTTGTCGGGGTTCCTGGGAACTCAGTGGTTTTGCTCAGCATGGCGCCCCACAAAAGGATTGTTGAGCTGAACCACGCATCTCCCGCTTTGCTTTCATGGGCAGTGTTCCTGCTGGAAAATTTGGTTTTGTTTCGGTTTTGGTACCCTTGTGTTCCTTGCTTTCCTAGTGCTCGGCTTTCGCACTAAGTACCCATGCTTCTTTGTGATCTGTTGTGAATGGTTAGCGTTTTGCAGAAACATGAACCAGTGGGAAGGAACCTGCTGCGATCAATTTTCTCACCAATTGCCGATGCGTGTTTGGTTTGTTGTGATTGTTTGTCCTTCCCAGCATTCCCTCATGCACCTCCCGCGCAGGTTGAGCTCCCTCGTTTTAGCGCCACAGATCTCTTGGACTTCGAAGACCGCTTTTTGAACAGCCGAATCAACAGCAAGGATAGGCCGTTTCTGGAAAGGGAGGCGGTTGTTGAGAGTGTTGTGAAGCAACTAGAACAGATCCAAAGGTACGGGACCAAGCCGACGGTGGTGACCTTGTGGAGCCCGCCGGGAACGGGCAAGACATCGCTCATCCGACACCTGGCTCGGAAGGACCCGAGCTTTGCAGAAAGCCGAAGATGTGGACGGCTTTTGGTTCTTGATGCTGCAGAGATTTCAAAGTTGGCGTGGCGGGAAGAACCCACTTGGATGGCTTCTGCTATCGTCGTGTGGCACCTGCTACAGTTGTTGCACGGGTACAGCATTGAAGTGAGTCCTGGGCGGGTGGTGAGTTTTCAGCGAATGGAGTTCATGGCAGTGCTTGAGGCTGTCAAGCGTGCATCGGCACCAAATGAGGGGCGCAACAGCTTTGAAGTTTGGCTTCGCTCATTTTGTCAACACAGGGAGGATGTCTTCGAGCAGTGGCTGTTGGTGACGGCTGCAGCCTTCAACGCAACACCAGACTGCGCTTGTTTGATTTTCCTTGATCAGGCCGAGCTGCTTGTGAAAGAACAGGTGGAGGGACGGAGTCAGAATGGTGGACAGAGATCAGCCTTCACTGACATATTCAGCATGTTCCCGCAGAAGATGGGCATGTTTTCGGCAGGCACGGTGAATATCTTGATTGATAGGCCATCGGAGGAGTACAGCTTGCTTAAGGTCCAGGCAGTACCGGCTCTGGCGCCATTGTCGCTGCAAGCCGCCAGAAAGGCTATGATAGAATGGGGGGGCACGCAATACAAGAAGGAATTCGACAAAATTCACCTGTTCTCTGCTGGGGTACCCCTGCTTCTGGAGGAGGCTTTCAAGAATGAGCTGGCAGCAACTGCGCAGACTGCAATCACCCTCATGTTGGACAAGTTGAAGAACTGGTATGCGGATGCAGCCCCCTACTTCAATCAGCCAGAAGTGGCTTTGGCGTTGGTTCTTTGCTCGGCGGTTCGATGGCCTGCAGAAGGCTTTCAGCTTGTGCCCGGAACCTCAGTAAGGTGGTCAGACATCTTCAGGGCAGGAGCAGCATTTCCAAACAACAAGTCCGTACTGGTTCCACGGCTGTGGTGGTGTGAGGATACCAATATGAAAGACGCCATCCGAAATGATTTGAAAGAGCTGAACATTGACCTGGAGGGGCTCCTGCCAGATTCCTTGCAGTTGCTCAACAGCCCACAAAGGGGTGCCACTGAAAGGGGGGAGAAGTGGGAAGAGCTGGTTGCAAATTCCCTGGCAGCGCGGTTCCGCCTTCACTGTATAGCAAGAACCCTAAGTGCTGAAGTCACCTGGGTCCCTTTTTTGGAGATCTACCCTACGGAGGATCCACATTTGCGAGCTGTTTTGGAGCCGTTCGAAGTTTGCTGGAGTGATGGTGTGGAATATCCAAGCGGCCAAGGCAATGAAGCAACTGTCATGAGTGACGTTGGGAAGGCCATCAAGTCCAACCGGAATTTTGCAACGGCTCACCACGACCTTTTGATCCCTGTGAGATGCAAGGCAACTGGTAAGCCCGAGTTCATTGCAGCGAAATGTCGTTATGGAGAGAAAAAGGATGCAGGCGGCCTGAAGTTGCAGGACAAGGCGAAGAAGGACAACTTTGAGGACATGCAAAATGTGTTGCTGCAGATTTGCAGTGAATCTGAAGGCTGGCAGTCCTTTACAAACAAGACATGGGCCAGACGTCAGGAGGAGAAGAAATACTCTCTCATGAGTTGCGAGACTATCATTGGGCAGCTGGACGTGCTGAAACTTTTGTGAGTGTACAAAAATCGCGCTAGCAGGTGGGAGCAAGAGGCTTCACATGTTCCATGGGTGTCAGGCTTGCATCCACAAACTGAATGGCCGTTTTTTTGGGCGGGGTCCAGGGATCGCTCGAAGGTCGAGATTTGCAAAGTCGTGTTTGGGCTAAAACTTCTCTCCACAAGCTAAGGCATGTTGCTTCCGTCAAGTCTGAATCGCTTCTGGGCCGCCTGGGCTGCCCCAGGAAGTCGTCCAGCTGCCTCGCCACAGCGACCCTGCCGCACCTCGTCAGCCGGCCCACGGCGTTGCCGCTGCCCGTCGTTTTGTTGCAGCACAGGCCTGCGCGCAGCATTTTAGATTTCGAATCCTTTGCAGGGCGAGGTTGTTTCCTGGATGGACGAGTGTCAGAACCCTCTCAGGTGCAATAGAATCCGTTTGGGGCCTCTAAAGAGAGAGTCAGGCCCGCTGGCCGAAAGGCGTGGGCGTGGGGAAGCTCAATGTTGTCTTCGCAGACAACAAAGAGCCACGCCTTGTCCTAGACTGTATGCAACGTGAACCCGCGGCGCGCTTTGCCCGAGCAAGTCAGCCCCCCTATGGCATACAGCGCCTTGATCGGCGCCAGCCTCGACTTCAAAGCTGCGCACAAGCAGGTGCAGGTGCGCCCTGATCAAACTCTACCACTACTTACTGCACGGCCTCCTGGCCTTGTGGCCACACAAAGCCTGGCTCTTTGTGGATGACCTACTAGCAGCCTTTGAGTTGGTCTGCAGGAACAATTGGCCATCATCGCCATTTTCTTCTGCGCCGTGTCAGCCCCAATTTCATGGAGAAAAGCCCAGTTCCAAGACCAAATAATTTGGTGTGGATGGTCTGTGCATTTTGGCTTCAACACCATCCACTCAATGGTTGCCAAATTAAACAAACTGCGCCAGCAGCTAGCAGACTTGTGCCAGGCGCATAAAGTGCCACGCAAAGCGCTGGAGCAGTGCATCGGCTTGCTCACTTGGGCAACCAGCGTTTCAAAGCACTTGCGGCCCGCGCTGTGCAGGGCCTGTGAATTCCCACACAAGCAAAAATCATCGAGTGCTCGGGTAGACCCGTGCGATGCAAAGCCGACCTTCCGGCCGTACCAGCCTCGCACAGGGTATCGGACCGACACGGTTGGCATCCGTGGTTGGTTCCTGACCAGCAACGCATTCGCATGGTTTGCAGAGACATGGAACATGTCTGATACACTTGGCCCTTCTTAACCAAGCCTGCCCAACGATACGTCGCCGTTTCGAGACAATTGCACAGTTCGCACTGCTACAGCTTTCACTTCAGGCCACAGGCAGTACAACTTTACGCTGCCAGCAGGCACCGACAACTCAGCTACTGAAGCAGACACTGTTTACTACTTCCTGGCCAACGCAGGTGTTCTTGCCCTGATTGCCTCCTGGGCCCATTCGCATGGTGTAGTGTTGCAGCCGACACACATTGCAGGCACAGCCAATGGCTGGGCCGATGACTTCAGCCGCGACAGACTTGCTAGATTTGCCAACCAGTCGCAGCAACGGCTTCGGTTCACCCCAGAGAGCATCAACGGCTCAGGTCAGCAACTCACACTTCATCCAGCGAGTGCGCCTTGGCGGCCCGAGCGACGCGCAGCCACTAGGACCTTGTGCCGCAACCAGTGCTGAAGCAGCTGCGGGTTGCCTTTTTTGCATACCGCGAATCGCCAGGAAACTTCTCCTAGCTGAAGCCGCGCACCGCAGTGCACCGCTCCTGCGTCAGCTATTGACTTCAGCGCAACCGGATACAAAAGAGGAGCGCGTCTCTTTCTTGTCAAGGGGTTCGGTTGTTAAGGTTGGAGCAGTGCATGTTTCCCTATAACGCTTGGGGTTCTATGTTTCCCCCGTGTTATAGGGACATGTGAAACCACGTGGCCATTTCTGCTCCAAGCTTACAACCATGCCTGTTCCGAAACCCACCCACCCACCCGACTTAGCGTGCAGAGCACTGCGCACAGCTGTACTAAGGTTGACAGTCTTGTCTGTCCACCTATGCCAAGGTGCAGGCTTGTCCTGGTCCAGCCTCGGACGTGAAAGGGCCGCCTTGCATGTCGACCTGTCTTTTCGCGCTGCAGTGGCAATTACAGGTTTAGACTCTCAGCAAAGCCGCCTAGCCTCTGCTGTGCCGGGCACCCAGATTTTTCACACCCCGAACTTGTCAGCTTCTTCTGCACACGCCGCAGCCCAAACGCCAAGGCACTCCGGCGCATCTGGAGCACCGCCTAAAGGTTTGCCTACCGTGGATGCCTAGCACCGCTGTGCCAGGTACGGGGTCAATTTGGGTTGTGGAACGCATCAGATTGGCTTGTGATTTGAAAATTCATCAATGTGACCTGTGAAGATTGGATTGGCTTGTTCGTTTTCAAAATGACTTGTGAGAGGGATCAGATTGGCTTGTGAGGAGCATGAGATTGACTTGCGAGCATTAGATTGGCTTGTGAGAGGGGTCAGGTTGACTTCTTATGGCTTTGACAGTTTCAAGCATCAGATTGGCTTGTTACACCGAAAAGCCATAATGTGTCATTCATCATCATCATCATCATCATCTTCATCGTTTTTTATCGTTCATCGCCCAGCAACAGCAACATCATCATCATCATCGCGTCGTTCATGATCAATCGCAGACATCGATCTAAAACCATCGTCGCCATCATCCATCAACCATGATCATCGTCATCTTTATGCAACCGTGATCATCCTCATCATCGTCAGCATCCATCCTCACCGTCATCCATCATCGTCATCATCATCAGGGTTGTCGCGTCTGTGTCATCATAGCCGTCTTAGCTAATTTCTTACACACGCGCTCTCGGCGTGATTTGTTAGAATGAAACGGACGATTGTCATCATCGTCGTCGCCCATCATCATTATCGCCCATCATCCATCATCAAGCTCATCCTCTCACCAGGTTAGTCAACCATCATCATCATCACTATCATCATGGTGAGCTTCGTCGTCATCTTCCTCATTATCCAGCATCGTCCTCATCATCTCGTCACCAACGTTCAGCGTCATCCATCATCCATGGCGATCATCAGCATCATCATCATCATGGCCTCGTGATCTTCCATCATCATCGTGATCGTCGTGGTCGTCGCATCATCGGCGTCATGACCCTTACCCCGTATCTTACACACACTTACTGCGCCGTCAGGCCGATGACAGTTGTCGTGGCATGGATGATCATCATCATCGGCACTTTCATCAAGCATCATCATCATGACCAGCATCATCATAACCCATCCTCCTTATTGTCATGAACCATCGTCATCATCATGCATCATCATCCATCATCCGTCATCACCATCGACACAGACTTAGCCTCTATCGTCCGTTTCAATTGGCGCTCGGCGCGCAACAAATCTACGCACGGAGGATGATCATCATTAATCATCACCTTCGTCATCCATCATCGTCACCGTCCGTCATCATGATCACCACCAAACCCATGCATCATCATCATCCTCATCATCACCATCATCATCATCCATCGTGAGCATCCTTCGTGATCCTCCATCATCATCATCATCATCCATCACCCTCATCCATCGCCAGCACCCTTCATGATCCTCCATCATCATCATCATCACCATCATCATCATCATCCTTCATCCTCACCCTTCGTGAGCCTCCATCATCATCATCGCCGCAGCGTTGTCAGCATCCTCAGCACCATCATCATCCATCATCATCAACTCATCAATCTTCCTAGCGCGAATCATCAGCATCATCCGTCAGCATTGTCATCATCATTGTGGTCTTCGCGTATCTCTCGCGCGTGAACTGATGGTAGTCATGATGGCACGGACTCATCATCATAATCATCACCCCTCATCATCATCATCATCGTCCGTTGCAGGATCGTCATCATCTCCACCCATGATGGTCATGAGTGATGATGAAGGTGGTAGACGATAGAGGCTGATGGTGATGATGACGATGATGAGGATGATGAATATGACCTGTGCAAGAACGGTCATGATGGATGACGATGAGGATATTGATGGTGCGACGAGGAAGAAGGTGATGACTATGATGGTCTTTATGCAACTGTGATCATCCTCATCATCGTTGCATCATCCATCATCAGCATCCATCCTCACCGTCATCCATCATCGTCATCATCATCAGGGTTGTCGCGTCTGCATCATCATAGCCGTCTTAGCTAATTTTTTACACACGCGCTCGGCGTGACTTTGTTAGAATGAAACGGACGATCGTCATCATCGTCATCTCCCATCATCATCCGTCATCAAGATCATCCTCGCCAGGTTGGTCAACCATCATCATCATCATCATCATCACTATCATCATGGTGAGCAGCATCGTCATCTTCATCATTATCCATCGTCGTCCTCATCATCTCGTCACCAACGTTCATCGTCTATCATCATCCATGGCGATCATCAGCATCATCATCATCAGGACCTCGTGAGCTTCCGTCATCATCGTCGTCGTCGTGGTCATCGCATCATCGGCGTCATGGCCCTTACATCTTACACACACTTCAACTGCGCCGTCAGGCCGATGACAGTCGTCGTGGCATGGATGATCATCATCATCATCACTTCATCACGCATCGTCATCATGACCAGCATCATCATGATCCATCCTCCTCATTATCATGAACCATCATCATCATGCATCATCATCACGCATCACCACCATCATCCGTCATCATCATCGACATTGCACACTTAGCCTCTGTCTTCCGTCCGTTTGAATTGGCGCTCGGCACGCGCAAAATCCTACGACGATACTTGTCGTGGCACGGAGGATGATCGTCATCATCAGCACCTTCGTCATCCATCTTCGTCATCGTCCGTCATCATGATCATCATCGTCATCCTCATCATCATCATCCATCATCAGCGTCCTTCATGATCCTCCATCATCATCATCACCCATCATCCTCATCCATCACCAGCACCCTTTGTGAGCCTCCATCATCATCATCGCCGCATCGTTGTCATCA